TAAAATTTAAATCTTATTTAGGCTCTATGAGTACCAGAAGTTGGAGAGGGAAGAATATATGGAACAAAAATTGATGGAGACTACAGTAAAGGGTCAACGTTGGTGTGCTGCATTATTTGGTTACTTTAAATAAAGTTTTTAAAACTGAAAATGTAGAAATGGAAGATATACCACTATTTAGAAACACACTTTAAAAAGCATAGAAAAAAGTTTATACACGTAGAACATAAAGGAGATTTTGAGTGGATTTCAATTATGAATTATCTTCAAGGCTGGCGGCTTATACATCATTTTGATACTAAACTACTGGAGTAGATTACCCCATGGCTCAATATTATTCAAAAAATTTAGCAACTTACAATCCCAGAATCCCTAGATAAAAGCTCCATGAAAGACCATTTTTTAGGTATTGTTTAATGTCTTTGTTTACAGGAACATTTAACAACACCTAACAGTAGATCAAGCAGAACAAGTAAACAATCTTTTAGAATATATTGGATGCAGAGAACAGATTATAGGTATATGCTGCTGTAATACAACTGGAAACAATAACGGTGCATTTAATGGAGCAGTCTAAATTCTTACAATTATTTTAAAACTTCCAATTTTGTGTATAATGTTGGAGACACATTAATGAAGTACACGTATCTCATTAAATAGCTGCTCTTACTGGTGAGAAACTAAAGATCCAATAAGAGGTCTATATTTCAAGTTAAAGAAGAAGTGGCCTGAAATCTAAAAGAAAGTTAATAAAGATAAAAATTTATACAAATTGGACTTTGGCATAAAAATGATCTGAAAAAGGCTTTGTTCTTCGTACTGTTGCAGAGAAAGCTAAGACGTTTTTGACATTAACTTTAATCTCCACATTGTAGAGTTTTGAAATAAAAAAAATTTGAAATTAAAACTTTTTAAAAGACAGCATATGAATAGTTTTTGATTTCTTATGTTTTCTTTGCAACTTTTTTATTTATAACTAAGATTTCAAAAGAGTGGACAAAACACTTTTCTGAGGTATATAACACATTCAATAACTCAAATTTTTTAAAAAGTAGAGAAAAAACAAGATAATTCAACTCTCACAATATGAATATGTTGAAGAAACTGTGATCAAAACTAATTTTTTTTTCTTTTATATAGTTATAACTTTGTCAATTCTTATCTAAATGTTTACAACTTGGTATTAAAAGAGATGTATGATGAGCTACAGTTGTAATTTGCTGACCGTTAGCAAAGTTACCAAAACAAATTTTGAAGATAGTTCTTGTTTATTTGGTAGATATATGAAAAATTGCTGCATTGCATTAAATCTGCTAAAAAACAAAAAAGCATTGATGCTGTTATTAAACATCAAGGAGAAATCACACAAAAAACCAATCAGTTCACTAAAAAGTGCAACGCTGTATCCACTACCACAAGTGCCGCTAGAACTTTAAGAATCCCAGCATCATCACTGTCAATACCAATATCAATTCCAATGTCAGTATTACACCCAATAATACCGCTGATACAGCAATACCATTTTGACAAACGCGACCACAACACGCGTCAGATAGTTCTTATTTAACATGTAGGCTATAACCTGTATCAACAAGATCGAGACTCTCGTGGAGACTATTTGGCTTTATATATCAAAACTTTATACATCAAGACTCTCGTGGAGGCAATGTGGCTTCATATATTTAAAAGATTATTACTGCTTGGGAGGTATAAAAAATATTTATTCTAAAATTTTTTTAATTTTAAAAAATTTTTAAAATTAAAAGAATTTTAGAATAACTTTCTCAATTTTTTTTTAGTCCTAAAAAAATTGAGAAAGTTTGGCGTTGCAATCTTTAATTGCTTGCCAATCATCTTTTGCAAAAGTATGCAAACTTGATATTTTACTGCTCTAATGGTGAGAGACTTAAACTTGATGAAGTATTGGATAAAAATTTAACAAGTATAAAAAATAACTCAAAGATAGTTGCCACAACACCTTAAAGTGATACATTGCTGTTCTTTGTTATTGTTCAAAAAGTTAACAAATTCTTTTAATTCAACAAAACAGTTTTTAACTATGTAAATACAATATAAACTATATTAATATTATGTCATACACAACTTTATAAATACAATCATATATAACTATATAACACATTATATACAACTTTATAAATACAACGTCATGCAATATTTATATGCTATACAATATGGCATAGAAACTATATATAGATTATTCCGAATCAATAAATTTATACTTATTTTTTGACATTAAGGAAAGACTGTTAATCTAAACATTTTTTTTTTTTTTTGGTGGTTTCAAATCCAAAGGTATAACTTGATAAATTAGCAACTACCCCAAATATAAACTCAAAAAATCATTAAACTTATTTTAAAAACTATTTTTTAGAAAATTATCTCATAAAAGTAAATGAAATTAATTAAATGATAATAAGTAATTCAGACAGTTACAAAGAATATGGAGATAAATGGAGCTTTAAACCTTATTTCAAAAATCTTTTATCAACCTAATAAAGTATTATAATGTTTAAACTTTTTCTAACTGTGTTTTTTAATTAGCCATTAAAAAAAACTTTAAAAAAATTTATCAATAAAGTGCAAAAACAGAAATGTATAAAACAAAGAAAAAATTATCTGATGGCAAAAGTATTTTGAAAAAAAAACTTAACTGAACCTTTTATATAACCTTTTTCTTTATATATAAATATTTCTAATAATGTTTTGTACGTTATATTTTAAGATGAAGTGAATTTGTACACAAATTTTAACTTTAAGGTTCTTTTACTCAAAACGAGTGTTTTTATCGATGAGCCAGATTTAGGAAATGATATCTTTTAAACTATAAATGTTGGAGTAATAAAATTTTCAGGGTTTTTATGACTTGTACCTGCTACGTACCTGCAACATAAGCTAAAAGTATTTGAGTCTAAACTTTGAAAACATTTTTAATGCATTCTATTTAAGAGTCCATTAATGAAAAAGAGTGCATCAAAGGACAAGTATAAAACTTGTAAAATTACAAGAGTATTTAATATAGTTATTCTGTCTTCATAGGAGAGTTTTTATTTTTCATATTTTCATAAAAGTATTTTCCATTTTCATAAAACGTTTTTTACAATCAGCGTCTTGAGATAACGTTTTCTGTATTAATTTAAGTTGAGCCAAGACTGTTAATAGTAGTTTCTTTCCAATTGATGTTTAAAAGCGATTCTTTTCTAATTTTCTTTTTATTTTGTTCTGTTTTTCAACAAAAAGAGAAATCTGTATTTTCTTTCCCGATTCTGCTACAATTTTCTATCTTCACTTTTTTTTTCAAATCAATTTTTTTTAATTCAATATATTTATTTCGTGAATGAACTAATAATCTTACAATGTTTTTATAAAAATAAAATAAATTCTTTTCTGCCAGGAGCAAGCAGAAGACAATACATTATCGTTTAACTACTTTGTTAGCAAAATAATTAACTTTATTATAAGTACATTATTTCTAAAAAGTTTACACTTTTAAGTTTATAAAAATGTATAAGTGCTCTCGAGTTCTCAATACAAGGAAAGTAGGTGGGGGGGGGGGGAGAGGCCACTCACTTTAAGCTTATTACGCCCTTCCCCCTCTCCCCATTCGCTTATTATTTTTTACTTGTTATCTACAAAATATTTATATTTAAAAATTTTTAAAAAAATTCTGTAAAAATTAACCTTAAAAAATAGAAAATAATTATTTCAGTTACCGATAAAAACAAAAACTTTCAGTGTAATCAGGCTTTAAAAATCCTCGACTTGTTTTTCGAAAATGAACTTTTAGTTTATTTCTCAGCAAAATGTTAAACTTATATCAGCATATTAAATCCTATTGAAATGCGCAATTGAACGCAAGCCACGCTCGAATTAAATAGTTTTATGCGTTGTTTGTAAAAAATATTAGTTTGGATTTATAAATTATAAACTATCAATACAGCCCATTGTTTATTAGATTTGAGAAAAATTTCCCCCTTCCCCTTTTATTATACCCCTCTCTCTCATTCCAGTTATTAGATTTAGACTAAATCCCTCCCCCCCTTCTTTTATTTTCCCCTCCTCTCTTAGATTAAGGAGGCAAAAGTATAAAATTAGTTCGTAAAAATTCAAGAGTTTTACATTCACCTGGAAAAACATAAATACGAGTTAAAAATACAAAAAAAATATTTTTATTAGTTAGATTTAATAAATTTTGTTTCACAGTTTTTTAAAATGCTTTAATTGTAGTTATAGATTTTATGTCATTATTCAGGATCAAGTTCCACAGATGTAAACCCCGATAAATAAATGAGTACCCTGAATTTTTTAAGTGGTGTTCACGGAATATAAAAAGTGTCAATGGAGTGTCTTCTTAAGTATCTGTGATTCACTAAAAAATGCGGCTCTAAATATGTTGGAAGCATGTTGTTATAATGTTTAAACATAAATAATACTTTTAATAAATGTTTAGTTCATATACTTTTAAAGTAAACAATTAAACTTTCTTCTTCACACATTTCCTTCTCCGCATTTTCTTTTTCTTACTCCCACATTTTGTCTCCACATTTGGGATTAGGAACGAATCTCTTTAATAATAAAAACAATTACAAAAGTACATTTGTATTTCATAAATATAATACTCACTAATTAAATATATTTATTTAGAATAAATTGTAAATATTTTACAATAAAGGAATAAATATTTTCATTCATATAATACAAGTAAAATCGTAATTCAATAAATTAAACTTATATACAAAAAAAAAAGTAATAAAAAATAAGGAAAAGTTTTTATTATCAATATAAAATAAATTTTTGATTTCAAATTGCATGAAATGAAAACTTTCTTATTTAGTTTCCTGCAGCTTAACAGAATCTAATTTTCTTAAGTTTTAAAAAAAGTTTAGCATTCTGCAGCATGGAGCATTTGGTTTAAAAAAAAAGCGAATAAAAAATAAGTTTACGAAAACATTACAGCAAAAATTTTTATGTGTTTGATATTTACTTCTATTCGATAATATTTTAATATTATCAAATGTACTTGTCTATATTTTACTGTTATTTCTTATTTAATTTATTTGTAATAGTGAAAAGCTTTATTGTATGTTAAAAATAAATAAGATATCTTTTTGTATCAAACGCATGCCTGGTTCCATGATGTCTTTTTTATAAAATATGTTTTTTATAATGTAATGCTAAACGCTTTAAGTATAATAAACATTAATTGTGTTTTTTTGTAGATTTTGTACGGTGAATGTTATTTACAATGTAGCTATTATTTCACTTCAATATCTAAAAGATCTTGGCTGAGTAGCAATTACTCGGGTGATGGTGCCTTTGGTACGATTAAATGCAAAATATAATTTAGCTTTATTTTCTGTTTCTACTGGAAGAATATCCGGTCTTAATCGTAAATTTTGATCTCCTTTTCGCTTCATTCGTATTTGCTCAATCATTGGAATTTCAATGTCATCATTAATAATGCGCACTATTGGTTTTGGGCATTCTTCTTTTGGAGTATACTCTTTGTGCTTTAATAAGTCTGCCACCCTTACGCCTTGACGACACAGCTGCAAGTACTCGTTTTCGATTGGTTTTATTGTACGGAAAAGTTTCATTTGATACTTTTCTACATATTCACAATCTGGATTAAGCCCAGGTAAATGCGAAAGAACTTGTTGTTTGTCGTCAGTTAAACTTTGAAACCGTATCTGGTTTTTAGATTCTGATGGTGGCGATGATGGTGAAGAAGTTTTAATGCATTTATTTTGTGAAGAACCTGGATGCAGTTCACATAGTTCAACTCGTCGAAGAACTCCGAAGGGAGGCAAAGGCATTAAAGCTGCTTTGTTTCCTAAACTAAACCTTTCATGTCCTATTTTTCCAGTTAAGCTTTCTTTTTTTACTATAACCATTATCTAAATAAAAAGATTTCTTTTAAAGATCACACCAAATTTTAAAGATTAACAATGCTAACTGTCAGATATTTTGATTTGGATATATTGTTGCACGTTTAAGTTACGCGTTTTACACGTTTAAGTTACACATTTAAGCTACACGTTTAAGTTACACGCTTTATAGCATTCCTGACAGGGTTTCCTTTTCTGCTTATCAAAACTTTTGTTATTAACTGAGTTAAATTTAAACTAAAATGAAAAACTAATTATGTTTATAGATAAACTTGTCAAAATCTTAGCATGACGTCATAAAAATAAATGCTAGCATTATGAAATGGTATCCGGTAAAATGCGAACTGCGAACCGTTAAAATAAAAACTTTTTCGCGAATAACGGTCTTATTGGCTATTAATGATGTAATATTAATTAATGATGCAATAGTAATTGTTAATGATGTAATATTTTTTATTTTTCATCTGTTGTTATATTGTTCATTTTGCTATATATTTTAAAGACTTCAAGCAGAAGCATTGATTTTATTTAATTTAAAAGAAATAAAATCTAATTAAAAATATAAATACTAATCTAATTACATTATGTTTTATTGAAATGAAAGAATTAAAGAGAAAACGTTTTTTTAAATTTTATAACTGCAATGGTTGTTTAAGTATAATGTCTTGGTTCCCAAAAAAGTTTGCATTTTACTGGTTCGCTGTTCGCATTTTACCGACTACCTTTATTAATGTTCATACCACTGGTAAACTTTTTAAAAATAAAATATGAAGTATTAAATATTAAAAAAAAAAAAAAACTTGCGGAATTTGTTTTTAATTTCGAGATTTCATTTATAAATTCTGAAAAATTCAATATTTAGGGATTATTTGTATTTTAAAATAAATTTAAAAAACAAATAATCCCTAAAATGCGATTATAAATTCGATTATAGTCAGTATAAAAAAAATGATGTCAATATTTTAATAGAAGCAGTTTCAACATTATTTTGGATAAAATTCTTCACAGTGTTTTTAATTATTCACTGTTGCGAGTAAAAGAAAAGTTTAAAAAATTTTATTTCTTTATTTTTAAAAGAAAAAAATTCTCTCAGTAATTCTGCAAACATTTCATGTTAATATTATGGCAATTGATGAACTGACTCACATAAAAAACAGCATTTTTTTTTTAGAGCAGTTGTTATGCTTGAAGTTTTCTTAAATTTATCAAAACCCTTCTATATTTTCATGAAAATAACTTTTTAATAAATGATTACCAAAGCAGTTGTTGGAAATGGAATCAAACTATTTTATTTTTTCAAAATTTTCAAAATCTCTTAATTCTTTGATACCAGCTTTTATAGCTTTGAAAGCAGCATTAAAATTGTTCAAAAAGTATAAAATTACATCGAACCTTGACAACCGATACTTTTTCAGTAAACATTACCTTGTAACGACTAGTTAAATATTATTTTTCTAGCACATTTCTAATGTCCAACCCCCTACCCTTTTCTTAAAGCATCTAAATTTTTATGATGTTGAACATAATATTATAAGCTTTTTAATTACCGAAAACATAGTCATTTCATTATACTAAAATTGTTGCTTAAAGTTGGAAGATTTAAAAGGGAAGGGTTTATTCTGTTATGTTCTAAATAGGTTTCAAAAATACTCAGCAATGTTCTATTACATTCCATAAGTTTCTAAAAGGGGTTATATTGTTTAAGGAAGGTTCAGAATATTTATGCCTTCTTAAGAGTATTGTGGAAGATTAAAAAATATTCTGGAACCTACCAGAATATTCAGAAACTTTCCATATTATCCTGAAAGCTTCCAAAACAATCTGGAATATTGTAGAATATTCTGGAACCTACTATAACATTCTTTACAGAAAACTCTGAAATATCCAACGGTATCTAAAACTATCAAAAAAAATATCTAAAACTCTCCAGCATACTTTTGAAGGCGAGAAAGTTCTAGGGTATTATGTAAGATGCTAGATTAGATAAGGTTCCGTAAAAAAAAAAGGAAGATTCTGGAAAGGCTCTGATTAAATAGTGGATGACTATCAATGATAAGGCTTCAGTGAATCTTATAAAAAAAAATTATCAATGATAAGGCTTCAGTGTATCTTATAAAAAAATAAAATGCTGAAATCAGCATTTTATCTTTCGTGGTGGATTGACGTTAGAGTTGTGCTAGAAAAATAATGTTTCATTTTGTTCGTGTCATAAGTTTGTGTCACAAAACATAGTAAAAAATTTTATTTTTTTAATGATACTAAATATTTTTCTGTAATTTAAATTCAAAAATTCTGAATTTTTGTCGTTCAAACGTTTGAGTTAATAAAATTGAAAAAATAACAAACTAATTTTTTTATTTAATTTTTTGCGGAAAACATAGTAGTATTTTTTAAATAAAAATTGATTCAAAACTTGATTTTTTAATGATAAGTTTTGCTAATAATAAATCATTACATTCCAAAAATTAGTTTTTATTGTCAGGTTGGCATTTTTTAATTAATTGTTATTTTTTCGAGCTAATTTAAGTGTTCATATTACCAAGTGGTCTTGGTAATATGAGCACTTTTCCTACTTTTTTAAAATCTCTGTGTTTTTAAGAAAAATTTCGAGTGCCCAAATATCTATGTGGATCATGAGTAGGGATCACTAAAAGTTGTTTATTTGCAAAAATTTTGGATCCAGCAAAATTATATTTGAAAGTATTCAAGTTTTTGCGTAAGGTGCTCATATTACTCTAATCTAACCCATTATTATCTTAGGCCCTCTTTTGTTTTTAATATATATCAACGAGTTGCATGAAGAATCAAATATTCTAAGTATTATGTTTGCTGATGACACAAACTTATTTCTCTCTAACAGTGAGATCAATCTACTATTCTCCATGATTAACAAAGAACTTCAAAACATATCTAAATGGTTTAAAAGTAACAAATTAACATTAAATATAAGCAAAACAAAATCGATTTTTTTCCACCCGCTCTCCAAATTATCGTTCTCTACACCCACATCAAAAATTCTTATTGACCATATTGAAATAAAATTCTTATTGACCATATTGAAATAAAATTCTTACTGACCATATTGAAATAAAATTCTTATTGACCATATTGAAATAAAAAGAAATTTTATAACTAAATACCTGGGGGTTTTCATTGACGAGAACATCACATGGAAACATCATATTAATCGTCTACTCGAAAGTTTTAAAAAGTATCGGAACTTTATATAAGGCGCGTACTAATTTAGATAAAAATAATTAAACTAAACTTTCTTACTCTTTTATTCATAGTTATATAAGTTATGGAGTCATTGCCTCGGGTAGCACTGATCAAAGCAAGTTACTATGTCTCTTTCGCCTTCAGAAACATGCGATCCGTTTAATTAATTCTGCGGATCAGTTCGCACATTTCTCAATATTTTTTAATCAAATGAAAATCCTTAACATATACATAAACTAAACGAATATAAAAATTTATCTTTTGTTTATATGTGGAAGCATGATTTATCTCCTTTAATTTTTAAAGATCTTTTTATTTTGAAACCATTAAGCAAGTTTTACACGAGGAATAATAATTATTTAAATGAACTACTCTGTCGAACAATATTCAATCAATTTTGTATTACTTATCATGCAGCTCATCTCTGGAACAAAACTATTTTACCTAACTTCGACTTACCCCTAAATTAATTACCCCTAAATTATCCTGTTTTTAAAAATTAATTAAAAGATCTCATTCTCTCTATTGAAAATATCTTGGAATATTTTTAATTTATCTTGTGAAAAAAAAAAAAAAAAAAATTTATTGTCATGAATGTTCAAGTTTTGTTTTACACTTGTTTACAATTTATTTTTATTTATCTAAGTACAATATATTATTTCTATGTTATTTTTACGTACTCTTATTGTAAAAAGGCGTTTTTTAATATTTTACGTACTCTCTTTTGTAAAAGGCTTCAGACGATAAGATCATTGTGATTTTCTTTTAGAAGCCTTATTTGTATTTGAAAAATAAGTAATTTATATTATTTTTTATCTCCTAAAATACACATAAAAATTCACAATTTTGTCATTTGATGTTATAATTTCTTTATAAATTTGATTATATTAAAAAATAAATATAATGTTAATTTGATATGAATGTGAAAAGTTTCTCAAACTCCTATTAAAATATTTATACGACTAAAATGTACTTTATTTAATAGTTTTTTGATCTTTTATAAACCAATTTCTTATAAAAATACAACTAGTAGTAAATTCAATAAAATTTACAAAGTTTTTATACTTCTAAATAATAAGGTTTTTTGACTAGTTTGTATAGGGGAAGTGGGGGCATAAATAATGTGTTAGGTTTTTTGACTAGTTTGTATAGGGGAAGTGGGGGCATACCCGCATATGGAGGCACAACCATTTTTTAACATTTCTCTTCAAAAAATGTTATCTTATATGGCAAAAAACATTCCACGCGTTAGTAAAACAGTTTCCTTCATTTTGCATATGTCAAAAAGAGTGACTGTTAAGTTTCTGAAAAGTTGTGAATAATAATGTTTATTTTGAAAAAAATATATTTACATCATATTTTTCCTGACCTTCTTTTTGAAAATTAAGCAATATTTGATTTTAGTGTTAAAGATATGTGTTATCAACATTATTTCATGAAGTGAAAGCCATTTTTGATAATATCATAATCTAATAATTAAGCTATGAAACTGAATTCTTTCTAAAAACTCTCTTCTGGGGCAGAACTCTCTTCTGAAGCAGAACTCAAAATGTAAATACAAAGAATGTCTGCACAGTATGCAAACGTGCAACAAAATTATCAAATAATCTGAGCTGTGAAAATTGTAAAAAAAATGTACCATGAAAGGTGTAGCCCCATCGATTTTTGTGAGGGTGCGGTTGTGCCTCACAATGGGGGCAAAACCGTTTTTTTCACTAAGTGTAATTTTTGTGTAATAACATTTTCAAAACCCGTTCAATTTTTTTCTTAAATGCATCAATTTAAAGCTT